TTTTTTTTTTTTTTTTTTTTTTTGTCACAGGAATTTACTCCGTTGCTGGGGAAATGACACCCATGGGTAACTTCAGGCCGGGTAAGTCATCATTTTTTTACCTTTTCAGGCTTTTTTGTAGCATGGATGGAAAGCAGAACTCCCCAAGACTAAACAGGGCTTTATTTTCAGCTCAGTTGGTCAAACATATCTAGCTATATGCGACGTTTCTCTTTGAATTTGGTTCCTTTTGTCAAAGGAAACCAAATAATTCCAAAAATATCCTGAAAATTCATACTGGGGGGATTGAGAGGGAATTTATCGCTCCATCCTCACTCTTGGATCCGGTGTTCCTACTTTCACAGGCTCAGATTCATCCTTTCCTGCCGCAGAGAGCATCAAACTTCAGCAGAATTGCTTAGGTTTGCAGCCGAGGGCAGAACCTGGTTCCCAAAGAGCGGAGTGATGCTATAAAACTCTATAAAAATGATAAAATTTATATATATTGAGAAAATGGTGTAAAAATGTTGCCGGAGGTGCTGCAGATTTACCAAAGGGGAAAGGAAATTGCATTTTTCATGCTTTCTGAAGGATTGAGTTGATCATTAATGGCTTGGCTTACCCGTTAATGTAAAACCCCGATTTTCACCCATTTTTTCCTCTTGTGTAGCGTCCCCAGACAGCTTTGAGGATGATTATGATGATGTGTCCCTGTCGGAGTCAGATCGAGGCTGCAAGCCACCAGTGGCTGATGATCTGCAGAGCCAGAAGAGCAAAGGAGGCACAGGTAGCACCCACCTCCTCTCTCCACGTCACCCGTGCGGTTGAGAACTTCCATGGGGCAGGATTTGCCTCTAAAATACCCCCAAAACATCCCCCAGTGACTCTTTCCTTCCTCCCAACAGGTGTTTACATCCTGGCAGGGAAACCACCATCTCCAAATCCTTCCCAAAAGGGTGAGTCGCTCTCAACCAATGCCGCTGTCCCACAGCAGAGGTCTAGGCCGGATCCAAAACCAAGAAGCTGGGATTTTTCCCCAATTTCTTCCACGCTGCTCTATGCAGGTGACCCAGAGCCCAGAGGTGACATGGGACAGAGCCGCAGGATGACGTCGGTGGCCGTCCTCTACATCCTGGTAGCGCTGAGCTTCGTCGCGTGGGTGCTGCTCTTTGCCTTGGCCATGGTGAAGCGTAAGTGTCCCTGGAATGGTCCCCATTGGGCTGGGAAGCAGCTGTTTTGGTGAAATACTCAAAAAAAAAGCATTTTTACTGTTAAGAAGAACACGTGGCTTTAATAACGCGATGTTTTACATGTCTGTCAACATGGAAACTGCAGTTAAAGCCCGTTCGTCTTCATGCTTTGGTTGTAAATCCATCCTGATATGTGAATTTTAGGATTTTATCACCAAATCCTCCCCAGGGTGTTACATCCAGATGCTGCCTCCATCTGCCCACACCAGCAGCACTACCTGTTTGCTACAGGGTGTAAATCCAGAGTAAATCCTCTCTGGAATTCCCCGCTTAACCCAAAAAAAGCCATAAACTGGGTAATTTTATATGCCACTCAGGACTCCTCGGTATAATCCAGCCATGTTTTCCTCCTTCATTTTCATTTCAGAGATAGAAATCATGGAGGAGTTAAAGCTCTTGAGGTTGAACTACTCTGAGAATCTAGCCAACGGTAGGTCCTGGGACTCAAATCCCCACCATGAACTTTTAAAGGTGGTTGGGAGACACCAATTTTTTGGTATTTAGCTCTTTTCTGGCACCAATTTTGCCATTGGGTGTAAATTAAGGAAAAATCAACCAGCAGCTCCTGGTTCTGCTCTGTTTTTTTGTAAAGCAACGCTGACTTTAACTTGTTTCTGATTTCCACTGGGAATTACACTGGGGTAATTTTGCAAAAGTCAAAGATAATGGGCAAATTCCTTATCCACTGCCAAATGAGTGATTAATTAAATGATAATTTGGGTGATATTGCAGCAAAATGTCACCCAAAGAGAAAAAAAACCCAAAACACAAAAAAGCTGGTGATGTAAGAGATTTTGCAGCCCTGATTGTGGTTTCGACACATGGAAAAATAAAAAATCCTGGGGAAAAAAGCTCAAGATTTGGGTAAAGTGAAAGGGAGAAGCAGAAAAAATTGGGGAAGGGATGGGTCTGGTGAAGGTCACTCACCCCTTTGCGCTCCCCAGTGAGGCAGGAGCTGTCGGAGACGCAACGGGAACAGACGCGGATGAGGAGCGGGATGCACAAATACTACGAGGAATTGCAGGATATCACAGGTAAAGCCAAAGCTGCCTCCACCTTGACGTTCCTTATCACTGTGCAAGAAACCTCCTGGTTTTAACCCAGAAAAACCACAATGGTCTTTTAGAGATGGAAAATTTGGGTGATTTATACCAATTTTGAGATGTTTCCCTCTCTGGGGAAGCTACAGAGTTTTCCTCAGCAGAGAAAAACTGGGGTTTTTTTCCTGGATTTGGGTGGTTTCTCGTCCTTCCAGCGCTGATCTGCAGATCCGTCCTGGATGGCAAGAAGTGCTCAGCTGGCTGGAAGATCTTCGAGAAAAGCTGTTACTCCTTCTCAACTGAGACGATGAACTGGTCGGACGCAAAGGAAATCTGCGCTGATCAAGGCGCTCACTTGGTCACCATCAACTCAGAACTGGAGCAGGTCAGCTTGTGGGTGAAAACAACCTTGTTTTTTGGCTTCCATGGTGCCCAAAATACCCCTTTTCTTGGAGAATTCCTACTCTGGCAAACACAGGAACTCAAAATTTTATTTTTTTCTTTTGCTAAAATTAACCAAGTTTGGCCATCAGGCTCGTAATTATTTGGAGGTGGAGAGAAGTGCCAATGGCCAAGCTGAATTCAGTCAACTATGACTTTGTGTTTTTAGGAAAAAAATGGTAAAAATGGAGCAAAAAAGGTCAACATCTCCTTTCCAGAATGCTGTATATGAATTTTGCTTTCATCCACCTAAATTTTTCACTGTTTCCCAAAAAACACTGCATGGATATCACAATGATTACCTCACTTCAATTGCCAAAAGCCTTGAGATGCTCTATAGTCCACTGGAATTATTATTTTCGGGCTGTTTTAACCAATTTTGCTTTTCTAGAAGTTCCTGAAGGACAATATTAACAACAGCAGCACGTACTGGCTGGGAGTGACAGATCAGCTGGAGGAAGGCACCTGGGTCTGGACTAATGGCGAACATACGAGTATTAGGTAAAAACTCCCTCCAAAACCAGAAAATAATCAGAAAATAAATGGAAAATGAAGAAGTTAACCCACCAAAACTTCGGGTTTTAGTAGTTTTACGTAAGTCAAAGGGTTTACGTTGGAAAAATGGTATTTTCAGAGTGTTTTCTTGCTGGTGGTAACAAAAAATTGAGCATTTTAGTGGTTTCCTTCCCTTGAAATATACATTTTATCTCTTCCTGAGAGACCTCTGCTGCTGAGCGGTTAATTTTTATTAATTTACTTTTTTTTTCCTTTTTTCTCCTTTTTTTCCTTCTTTCTCCAGCTACTGGAATACGTGGAAGGAGAACA